CCCTAAATAAATAAACTGACAACTGCACTTACACTAATGGTCAAAAGTTGAAGTGCTTATTGGGATAGAATTGGAAAAATCTAAATGTTTAGATGTAAGTGGGGAACTGCTAAAAGAAAAAAAACGTTATTCACAGAATGGGACAATATAATCGTGCTTGCCGATGGCATTTCCACAAGTCTTTGGAAAGCTCCACAGCATAGAGCAGTAAATCATTAATTTACTTTCAGGGGCAGAACTGATATGCTGTGTCTGAGTGCAGATGGGACTAGAAAGACAGAAAGCAAAACACCATATGAAACATGCTGAACAAACAAAGAAGTGCATGCATCCTGACCAAAATGGAACTTTTCCAGAACATTCCATTCAAGCTTCAATCCATGTTACTTCCCATTCAGCTATGACATTGCTCAACCTGTACCTTCTAAATACTGCAATGGTAACCAGGAACTGCACTTGTTTGTATATATGTAAATGGGTACATAACTGAGAATTTTTGCAATTTAAAAACTCTACTGAAAATTTGGCTTCCCTATACACTGGTCCCAAACCCTCCTTCCTGACTTCTAGGGTGTCTAAAAGCAACAATTGCTTTTTATATGACCTATAACAAGGTGTCCCAAAGAAAATATTTTAAATTGTTAGTCACAGAATAAAAAACAAAAAATAAAATAATCCTATATAATAAAAGGCTAATATGCAAATTGTCCCCTCGACTGGGAGTTTGACCAGGAGTTCAACCTGGAGTTTGACCAGGGGATGGGGCCGGCCGGCCAACTGCTTGTGGCCCCTCCCCTGGCTGGCCCTGCCCTTGACTGCCACCACCCCCCCAACCCCCCACCCCCGCATCAGGAGCAGGGCTGGCCCTCCATCTTCCTGTGGCCCCATTGCCTGATTGGGGCAGGCTAGCCGGACTCCACCCATGCACGAATTCATGCACCAGGCCTCTAGTATGTAATAAAATAAAATAGAAATATGTCCAGAGAGCACTGAACCAAAAGCAAGGCCCTACAAGCAAGGTTTCTGGGTCCTGCCCTGACATTAGGATGCCAACTCGCCTTAGACTAAGGGGTTTCCCAGGGTGGGGCACTTTCAGTGCTAAAACCAAGAGAGTCACAGGCAAATAGGGACAAGTTGGTCTCCCTATGGGTGACAATGGCTAAATCACAACCCATTGGGAACACAGTGCCCTTGTTGCTAACATCTGGATGGGACCAGAGGTTTCCAGGGCCCTTCAGTTCTAATTTCCTATGACCCTGAGCATTATTTACACCATATCTGATTGTATTATACCGTGTATACCATAAGTGAATAGGGCTTTATGGAGGGTCAGGGGGCTCTGGAAATATTTTGGGAAGTTATGCATTGTCTGGCGTTATGTAAGCTTAACAGTAAACAGAGCTAGGAGTTTTCAGTTTTTTATTTTTTTATTTCTATAGCAAAGAGGAAATAAGCTGCTTCTAGAAAATATCAAGCCAACAAAGAAAATCCTTCCAACACCAACATTCAATTTAATCCATCCTCCCTCACCTCCTAGCTTCCCAGCTCATGGGAGACCTGGGCAAGACATCGGGACAAAAGCTTAAAAACAGGAAATATTACTTTAATTTACTGACAGCCACTGTGAAAGAATGTATTTCTACATTTTTAAGAAAGTAAAAACTTACAAAGGTGTGGCCACAACTGCAAAACCCAAAAGCAAAGCAAATGCAACTGTTTCACCAGCAACCCACGATAACAATAGTCATAAAAGCGAAAGATAAATAAGGCCTTGAGTACTTTCAAATGTGTTCTCTAATTTTAGCTTTCATCCTGAAAAAAAAATCCTATTTTAGAGAATAAAAAACAAGTCCTACCTAAAATCAGACCCATTCCTCTTTCCTCGTTGGGCGTTCTAATTAGGATACTATCTGACTTCTTGCTACTAATAAAGATCCTAAATGAAAGCATTTGTGCCAGGAAGACTGAGTTAGGAAAAATGTCTAAAAGCACAACCAAGAAAGAAGTCCTATTGAATGATTTTTTAAAGGCAATAACATTTAGGGGAAGTTATTATAAAATGCCTCTGTCCTAAAAAATATTACAATGTCCATTATATATATTACTCATAAGTGAACTACTCTACCATGTCTCGTCATCATTCTTAGTAAATAGGTAGCTGAACTGTCTTTAGAATGTTTCTCACATGCTCTTTATGAGGAGTCTGGCAGCACCAACAAGAGATTTCTTACTTGGTATTTAAGAGCAGCCTCAAGGTCTATGTGTGTATTCTCAAGCACGTGCATAGGAGTTTGCTTCTCCTTGCCTCTTCACACAGAAGCTTCCCCCCACATCAGGGCACAGTTTCGGCCCAAATCTGTCATAGACGCTGCAGGAATATGAAATTGTGTGCAAGAAAGAGGATCCCAGTCCTTAAGACACATCTAATTTACTTGGGGAAGAGAAGACATAGTATTCCCCCGAGTTCCCTGTGCCAGCAAAATGGACGGCGATCATATCTTAATTAGTAATGTTGGGATGCTGTCGTCTGCATATTATTTGTAGGCTCACAAAGCCTTAATCCAAATAGGTAAGGAAAATTAAATCCATGCCATTTATTTCAAATATATTAAAATACAATAAATAACAGAATTTATTTTGAGTAGTGACAAGTAGCATACCACTAGTATTAGGGAAGATGGAGTGAGATTCTTTTTTTTTTAAATATATTTTTATTAATTTCAGAGAGGAAGAGAGGGAGAAAGAGAGAAACATCAATGATGAGAGAGAATCATTGACTGACTGCCTCCTGTACTCCCCCTACTGGGGATTGAGCCCATAATCTGGGTATGTGCCCTGACTGGGATTCAAACCTTGACCTTCTGGTTCATAGGTTGATGCTCAACCACTGAGCCATACTGTCTGGGTGGGGTGAGATTCTTAAAATATTTTTTTCATTGATTTCAGAGAGGAAGGGAGAGAGATAGAGAGATAGAAACATTAATGATGAGAGAGAATCATTGATTGGCTGCCTCTTGTATTGGCTGCCTACTGTGGGGGAGGGAGGGCGGATCTAGCCGGCAACAGGGATGTGCCCTTGACAAAAATAGAACCTGGGACTCTTTAGCCCACAGGCTGACACTCTATTCACTGAGCCAAATAGGCTAGGCTGGGTGGGTTGAGATTCTTAATGGCCAAAATATCACATAAACTCAGGAAAGGAAATAGGGGGATGGGAACAGTTTTGCAATTATTACCTCAGCAATGGCACTGGCAAAGAAGTGTGGCTTCTCAAAACCCAGAATTTGTTAAAAATAAGCTGCTGGACTCGATTTCTAGAGATCCAGGTGTTAGCCCTAACTCCTTCACAATCATATCCTCTCTTGCCCAGGTTTTCTACCTAAACCAGACGATGGCTGACATTCCTTTAATGAACACTTCTGGTAATCCTTTCTTGGATTGACTAAATTACAGTGTACAACATTAAATTATTCAATAATCAATGACTTTAACTTTTTGTGTATATCAACTGACTTCTTCATGGCAGCTGGTTAACAAAGCAAAAATCTTAATTCACGTTGCTAGAGTTTAGCACTACACAGTCATCAGTTTTACATCTAGGCCTAATAATCTAGCCAAATTAATGTGGCATATTATTCAGTATTATTGCAAGAAGCTTTGGTGTGGTCATAATTTATGATGGTGAAGATCAGATCAAATGAGTATGTATTCATTGCTCTCAGCTGGCTTAAAATGGCTTAGCTACACAGCAACCAAGAGTAAGAAAATATTTCATTTCTCTTTTTATGTTAATCCAGTGATAACATCTAAGTATGACTTTGGTATGTATAAAAACCCTTTCACCTGGTAAGACTTAAACCCATGTTGTTTGGGGGGGGGAGGGGAGGGAGCAGAAGAAGAAAAATATGGGTTGTAATATCAAACCACTTCTATTATTTCTTATGTGGAAATTGTTTGGACACTTTTTGTGTATATCAACTGACTTCTTCATGGCAGCTGGTTAACAAAGCAAAAATCTTAATTCACGTTCCTAGAGTTTAGCACTACACAGTCATCAGTTTTACATCTAGGCCTAATAATCTAGCCAAATTAATGTGGCATATTATTCAGTATTATTGCAAGAAGCTTTGGTGTGGTCATAATTTATGATGGTGAAGATCAGATCAAATGAGTATGTATTCATTGCTCTCAGCTGGCTTAAAATGGCTTAGCTACACAGCAACCAAGAGTAAGAAAGTATTTCATTTCTCTTTTTATGTTAATCCAGTGATAACATCTAAGTATGACTTTGGTATGTATAAAAACCCTTTCACCTGGTAAGACTTAAACCCATGTTGTTTAGGTGGTGGGGGGAGCAGAAGAAGAAAAATATGGGTTGTAATATCAAACCACTTCTATTATTTCTTATGTGGAAATCTTGTTTGGACATCTGAATGTTAGGACAATTATCACCTAGTAACAGCAAAGAATTCAAATATAATAAACTCCAATAAAATGCTAAATAATACAAGCTCTCTTCATTCTAAAATACTTGTTTGAGTCCTTTCAGCAAAGAGATAAAAGAAACCCGGAATGAAAAAGGAAGGGCATACTCAAGCTTCCATGAAGCTGCATGATAAAGTGAATAATGGGAACAAAAATAAACCGAGAATTGAGAAATGCTGGAAAAGTTTTCCAAATACTATTCTTGCTTGTATCTAGCTCCGTGATACAGTTTAAATTCAGCCAAATTTTGTAAGTATTTGTTAAACAGTTCTTGCATGTGACATATGTTTCCAGGATACTTCTGACATTGATATGAGAGATTATAAAACATTTAGAAATGAAAATGTTACTCTCCAACAAAAAACACCATAACTTCCAAGACTCTTCTAAATTCATAAGATAGAAAAACATTTGGACAATAGTAGCTTTCCATTTTAAAATGTTCAAATAATATACTTCAAAACAAAAAAAAAGTGTTATTGTTCAAGGCAAGGAGGAAGAAACAAGTCTAAATAAAATAAGGTATTAAAATTAACTCTAGAAATCATTACTTTTCCTTTGCAGTCTCAATCTTATTTACTCCATAATAAGTAAATTGCTTTATCCCTTCAGCTGGGAAGGATAATTCTTACCCTACCAAGATGATGACAGTACCACACTGCAGTGCTCACCGAGCAAGAAACACATGAATATGAAGTAGCAGTAAGTCTTTCTAACAAACAAGGTGTATGCAAGACTTGATTTGCAATGCATTAATTTAGGAACTCCGTGGAGAGGCTCCTACTATATCTAGCTGATCTAAATTTGAGCTCATGATAACACTGCACAAAGCTATGGTAGATGAAAGTGATAGGCAATGCCAACAGAACAATTCCACTGACAACACAAACTCCTCCAAGAATTCTTCCAGGCATTGTGATAGGATACATATCTCCATAGCCAACTGTAGTCATAGAGATAATCACCCACCAGCAGGCAGCAGGGATGCTGGCGAAGTCCTTGTTGGATGCTTCCAGGTCCAACCCATGTTCAAGAAGCTGAGAAAGTGCACTGAAGATTGCCATGGCAACACAAATGAAGACAAGTAGCATAACCATCTCTCGGTAGCATCGTTTGAGAGTCAAACCAAGTGTCTGAAGACCAATGAAGTGACGGGCAAGCTTAATCACCCAAAAAATCCGCATCATTCTAAGCACCCTCAAGGTGACCCCGGCCCTCTGGAGCTGAGAGTTCTCGCCTGTAAATACTGTCATCAACACGGAGATGTAATACGGCGTGATTGCCAGTAAGTCAATGATGTTCAGGGGTCTCTTGACAAACTCACACTTGTTTCTGGAGATGATGAACCTCACGATGCACTCTGCCGTGAACCAACCTATGCAGATAGCTTCAATTATCCTGTCAAGAGAACAAAAGAAGAATTGATCATTTTATTTTTAAGCATTTTAATAGCTCTTTGAGCTCTTCAGAGAGTACTACACTGACATGTTAATTCAGTTACTGATTCCAGAAAACATAAAGGACAGCATTACCAACATCATCAGACCAACCAGGACGTAACAGAACAACAAATATTACAGTTCAAATGACAACTGAACTTGATAAAGCTCTTATTTATATACTGCATGTAATACCACGGCATTGTTTTTCGCTTGTCACTAATACTTAAAATTTCTTACTTGGCAAATTGGAAATGAACTTGGACTCAGCTAGCCACAATACGAAATGTGACGTCAGTTATGAGAGGGGTCAGAGAACTCTGCTCCTCTAGAGCAGACACACCCGGGTTTTCAATCATGCATTTCTCGGTAAATTAGAGTGAACTCAGGATCATCTCCTAAAATGTGACTCTGCCTTCTTTTCTGGCTTTGTGTGGGAGACACTGAAACTGAGCCTGCTTCTGTGGCTTTGCAGGAAGGAGTGCCAGCAGCCTCCCCAGCACAGAGCCATCATCCATGCCGAGTGTTGCAGTGGGAAAGGGGCTGAGGACTCCTGCACTGGAGCCAAACCATCACTGGGGTTTTCCCAAAGACCCAACTGGTTTGTTTGTTTTTTATAGCTATTTTATGCAACAGACATTTTAAAAATGTAAGGCCACATTTTAGCCGGAGCAGTATTTCCCAACCTTTCCACATCACTGCACACACTAAACCGAAGATAATAGTATTTACACAACACAGTGGCATCAAGGGGTTCTATTCTTGAAGCGGAAACCACCAGCCTGGGGGCTCTGGCCGCTCTTGCCCCTGACCACAGTCACCAAGGCTGAGAAAATGAAATCTCAGCACACCGGTCAGGAAGCCTAGATCCAGAATGAGAGGTAATTTTTAATTAAATTGCATTTTTAGATTCTAATTAAAAGTTACAATTATTACACCATCATTCATTTTTTCTTCACATAATTCTTTCCCATCATTGACCTAGACCCAATCATCAGAAGTACAATGGAAAGAGAAGACATTAGAGTAGGCGAGATGGTAAGGTCCGTGGGGCAACATTTTGAGAAGAAGTCCTCAAAATGCATGTCACAGAGCACAAGTTATACTGGTTGTTAGTCAGGGAAATAGACACACAAATTTAACCATTATTCACAGGGTTGTAAATATTGCTTTTATTTATTATTTGAATAGATAGTACATTCACATAATTCAAATTTTAAAGGTAAAAACGGGGGATATAAAAAAAATTCTCACACCCACCCCATTCCCCAACCACCGTTCCCCAGTCTTCACTCCAGCCACCAAATCCTCTGGGCACTGGTTATAACAGCAATAGCCACTGATCACCAAGAAACTGGGAACCCAAGTATATGTTTCCTATAGCAGCTATAAAAAATTACCACAGCCCAGCCAGCATGGCTCAGTGATTGAGCATTGATCTATGAACCAGGAGGTCACGGTTCGGTTCCCAGGATTGAGCCCCGGTGTGGGGCATGCAGGAGGCAGCTGATCAATGATTCTCATCACTGATGTTTCTATCTGTCTCTCCCTCACCTTTCCTCTCTGAAATCAATTAAAAAATATATTTTTTAAAAATTACCACAAACTTGGTGGCATAAAACAACAGAAAATTATTTCTCCCTCGTTCTAGAGGCCAGACGTGCAAAATTGATACCACTGGGCCAAAATCAAGTGTTAGGAGGGCCACACTCCCTTTGGGGCTCTAGGAGAGAATCCCTCCTTGCCCCTTCGCTTCTGGTGTTTTTTGCATTCCTTGGTTCACAGCCATCTCATTTCAGTCTCTGCCTCGGTGGTTCCACTGCCTCCTCCTCTTCTGTCACTGTGTCAAATGTCCCTCTGCATCCTTCTTCTGAAGATGTGACAGCACTGAGAGCCCGCTGGGATAACCCAGGATAATCCCACCATCTCAAGATCCTTCATTTAATCCCATCTGTACCAGCCCTTCTGCCAGGTACAGTATGGTAGCATCCACTAGTTCCAGGGATTAGGAGCTGGTATCTTTGGGGGCAGAGGAGGGGTATTTTTCAACCTACCACACCAAGTAAACACACAGTGTCAGCAGATGAAGTCACAGCTGCCCCCCACTATTTCTCTTCTGTATTCTCTGCCGCTCTCCTCAAGGACCCCATGACCCTGTGGTTGGCAGCAGCTTCCCTGTCCCCACCGGACTATCAATAAAAGCTGCTGCCCTAATGGCCTCTATGAACCTGGAGGCTCAGAAAACTGGGAGAGTGATGAAACATGGTCGATCTAGAAAATAAGAAGCTACATTCTTTTTTTCAATCTACAGTTTTAACATATATATTACCATAGTACCACTCTCCCTGGTAACGGTCATCAAATACTCCATATGCTCCCTTTCCCCCATATTTCCATCCCTTTGCAATTAGGCAGGGTTATATGACCAGTTCTGACAGATGAGCCGTGAGCAAAACGACTCTATCACCTCTGGGCAGAAGCACAGAGGAGTGAGTGCGGATCCCCCACCATGGCAACTGGAAGGCATGTGTCCTAACTGGCTACAAGATGCGGCCCAAGTCCCTGAGGGTCTGCACGGAGAAGAGCCCGACTCGGATTGAACGTGATATGTGAGCAACAGATAAATCTTCATTGTGTTAAGCCACTGAGAACTCTAAATGGGGTGCAATCCTAGGTAATAAAGTGATGCATGCAGTCAGGTCCGCATAGAGTAGTAACAGGAATGGTTTTCTTCGAGTGCCTATGGTTAAAACATCTCCAGTTCTCCAGCTCACGTGGGCAGGAGCGCTGGCTCCCGCTCTGAAGGAGGATTCCCACCTATCCAGTGGCAGAGTTGCACCGATCTCCTAAGGGCTCTCCCAGCAATAAAATCCTGGGATTCTATTAAATTAAGAAGAGTAAAAAACTTTAAATTGTGACAGAAATACCAGAACACTTTCTGTTTAATTATTTCTACCAGCAGCCAAAGTTGTTTAGATGAAAAAGGAGGAAATGCAAATGGTGCAGAATAATTCCTCAGTAGAGGGGATTTCAAAGAGGTAAACTCTTCCATAATGAGGCCCTCTGGGCCCCTCCTGCCCACCCCCCAAGTCAGATGCAGTTTAGCCAGAATTCCATGCTAAGGAGATGAATCAATGAGAAACCCCAGGCATCCCTCTCTCACCTAGGATTATGCCAAGGCAGACGCCAACAGCAAACACCACTAAACCTGCCAACATTCCCCATGTTTCCGAATAACACGCTTGCCAATGCCACCACCGACAACTGTTGGAAAAATGAGTACTTTCTACCGAGCACTAGAGCCAACAATTGGGCCTTCCCAAAGGTCACTTCCATAAAAAACAACTAGGTAAAAAGAGCTAAAAGAAGCTACTAGGGGACAACGTATTTTTTGAAGCCCATTCTGATTCCTTTGAGGCCCAAACATAGAAGTTCATGGATTCATGGCTAATAAAAGTATTTACCACTTATTGAGGCCTGTCAGTTGGCCACTGTGCTAATAAGCACTTCACAGACACCATCTCGTTTAATCCTTTTCGAGAAGTCTATGAAGTGCGTATTTCCCCTACTATCTCCATTTCACAGGGACACAACTGAGGCTGAAAAGTTCAACATCTTTCCCAAGGTCACACAACTAAGAAATAACAGTGGCACCTGTAATAAAACTTGAGTCTGTTGAGCTTTGAAATTCTAAGGAACATTTGAAAACGCTCATGATTTTATGACAGTGTGCACTGTTAACACTAAATGATGTATGTCAAACAGCAGCATTTTTCAACTGTCGGTTCTTAACCCGTTGATGGATCAAAACTGACAATTTTCAGAAATTACAGAGAAAATATTAGAGTGCATCAAAGTATGGTTTCATGAAGCTTTGTTTCGTTTAGCTGTAACTGTATACTAAGTAACGATGTAAAATGTATCCCCTTCTGTACTTCTGGAGGACCTCAACCATGGCCATCATCAGTTATGGGAATTACTCTGATCCGTCATGACTGAAGGTACATCTGGGAATGACTCAGAGGTTTACAAACGGGCTCCAAAGGAGAACAAATGCTTTTATTGCTAACCAGATCTACTCCCACAACCTAACAACCTCCAAAAAAAAGAGTAGGACAGGATATAAGAGGCCATTAACTGTGCTGTGTGAGGGTCAGTCTCCCTAGATGCTATCTTCTCATCTTTTTCCATCAACATTTTATTATGAAAAACTTCAAACATGAAGCAAATTCATTCATATTTTAAATATACTTGCTTATCACCTATTCATCTCTCTCCATCTATTAATCTATTTTATATATATTTTTAATTGATTTCAGAGAGGAAGGGAAAGGGAGAGAGAGACAGAAACATCCATGGTGAGAGAGAATCATTGATCGGCTGGCTTCTACACACCTTGCACTAGGGATCGAGCCTGCAACCCGGACATGTGGCCTGATCAAGAATTGAACTGTGGCCTCCTGGTTCATAGGTCAAACGCTCAACCACTGATCCATGCCCGCTGGTTTAATCTATTTTTTGGATGCATTTTAAAGTAAATTGCAAACATCAGTGTACTTTCCTTTAAAAACTTCAGAGTTCATATCATTGACTAGAATTCAATTATTTGTTTCTATATTCTTTTGATGTAAACCTTACATGCAATGAAAGCACAAACCTTAGTGTACATTCACTGAGTTTTGAAAAATGCATAACCTCTGAAACCCAAACTCCTATAAAGATATGAAGCATTCACATCACCTCAGAGAGTTCTCTGCCTTAGTCATCTTTGTATCTCCTGCCCTTACTTCCCAAACCCATCAGACACTTAGCAAGTGCTTAATAGGTGTTTGTCCAGCACAATGTAAGTGACTTTGATAGAACCTTAAGCCCTGGTATAACCACAGCCACAAGAAGCCTCTTTGTTCTTCTGGAACCTCTAAGGCAGCAGTTCTCAACCTGTGGGTCGCGACCCCTTTG